GGACCAAAAAGAAAACCTGCACTTCCACAAGAAATTTAAGGCCAAGGGCTGGGAATTGGAAAGAGGATGGTGCAGTCTCAGCCAAACAAGTGTTGGTCAGAAAACACCTGCCCTACAAGATATATTACAGTGTTTTCCACCAGAATGGCTCCACACATTCTCTTGCCTAACTGGCAGGAAAGAGCAGAGAAGCATAAATTCCTTTTATAATAATCTGAGAATATAATATTTTGCCTTGTTAAAAGCAGAAATTGCACTGTATGTGCAAAGAGAACTTTCTTCACATACTTGCATTGAAAGTAAGCAGACATGAAATGGAAAGCACTTGAAGTGCTTGGTATTGCCATTGCAGACAGGGCTCTTGGAGAGCACCTTCCCTATGTTCCAAAGCTTCCAGACTTCCTGCCTGCTTTATCCTCTCACCCTCTAAAGACAGAGCTGTGCCTCTCCTTCAAAGCACAGCTCTCTGTATGGGCACAACAAAACTGTTAAATGGGGAAGCCTCAGCTCTGTAAAAGGAGTCCTCACAAACGCAACAAGTAAAAACCCTGAGAACAATGAACACATTTTTATTTAAAAATCATCAGGAGTGGGAAATAACCAAGAAAAACAAAAAGGCTGGTGAAGAAAACAGAACAGAACCTTCCCAGTTAAGCAGCACTGAGGTTGTTTGTGAAAGGTCAGTTGGGCTGCTCCTGTAGGATCCAGCCTTCCACTCAGGAGATTCCCAGTGAATTGCACTGGATTCAGACATACACAATTCCACAAGATTGCAACTAACCAAGAGAAAACTGTCCCAGAATATTGAATTAGATTGGGACAATTTGAAATTCAGAAGGTTGCTCGAGATGAGAGCTGATTTAACATTATGATTTTTATGTTATTATGGTGCTTCCACTTGTACTGGAGGAACCTCAACAATGTGTGGGGTGTAGGAGGGCAAAAAGCTCAAATAAAATTTTATTATGCAAAATTTGATTATGCAAAATCTTCTTATGGAACAGATTCTGCACCATTAAAATACACTCTGAAACTACTTCATTTCAGTTGAAGCATTTGGTCTCTCTCTCAGAGAGCTTGCTGATACTAAAGGTAGCACAAGTTGCATTAAAATACAAAAACCTATTTTACCAGTAGAGATACAGCATTACTAACAAGGGTGCCATTGTTATTTCAGGTATTTTTTAACCCCAGATTGAGAGTGGTAGCTTTTGTCTGCAGGGAAACTTCTTTATTAAAAGAATTAAGAAATCATAATAGTTCAGGGGTGGGGGTGGCTGGTTTCAAGTTTGAAATTGAGAGCTGCCATGAATTAGTCAGTGCAGATGAACAGGAAATACTCACAGGCACTTGTCAGAGTCTGGCAGAACCGCTCCCAGCTGCATCCGCCTCCGAGTCACATCCAGGGGGTACCTGCACAGGGACATGCAAACTGCAGCTCAGGCACAGCACTGCTGCACTGGGGCTCAAGAGGCAAACAACAAACCCACGGGCAGCCTCCAGCCCTCCTGCACTGAGTCAGGAATGAAGCTCACACTCTCAACAAGCTGCAAGCTCTCCACAAAGGGAGATTCCCCTTACACAACCAAAACCAGCAAACCAGAGCTCTTAGTACATTCCATGTGGCACTAGTGAGGAAGAGAGATAAAGATCAGATGAGAGTATAAAAGAATCTGTAAAATGCTGAAGGGAGAAGACACCTGCATTGAAAATAAAATTAACAGCTTAAAGATGAACAGGCAGTGATGTTCACAATGCAGTGATGAACAGGCAGTGATGTTCACA